CTAGAAATGTGAAGGAGTGAAGATAGCTTTCTACTGGCTTTTGAGCTAAGCAATGCATACAAAAACTGGAAGAGGCTTTCTTCTCTCTCTTGGAGAGATTCAAAAGAGATGAGCCTTCATTCTGAAGAGTTTAAGTCTTTTTAAATATCTGAAAACACACTTTCCCTCTCGTTCAGTTTATTATTTTTATATTTTAAATGATTCCTAGTACCTGGCAGGAATGGACACACAGCAATTCTGAGTCTGCATTGAGCAGCATGACAAGTGAACCAACTTGCAGCATCTCAGGATTCTGAGATGGTGGCTGGTATCTGTGTTGAACTGGCAAAAAAAAATGCACTGTCAGTGTTGTCATTTCAAACTGCATATGTGGTGCTTTATTTGCTGGAGTTGTTTGATGACAGCAAGAGTGCTCAGGCTTCTGTGCCTTAGGAGACTTGTTCCAAAATGCCAGTGCAGTTGTTTGCCCTCCCTGTAAAAATAAGTTCCCCAGTCCTGTCTTCTTTTCCTTCTGCTGCAACCCTGTTTATTACCCACGTAATTTCTGTGTGCTGAGAAACAGCTGGCTGTGCTGGAGCTGTTAACAGCAAGTGAATGACATAAGTGCTTTGATTTGGATTGACTCTTCTTTCTGTACAACTGTGACATTTGGCAAACAGCAGTGCAGTGCTGCTGTGCCTCGTTCTCCAAACAGAATGCTGTATCCAAGGACTATCTGTTTAATCTTTATAGTTTAATTGGGTGACCGTACATGAACTAAGTCATTAAAACTCTCCTGTAGTTTCAGTGTAGATCTACACATGCTGTGCGTACTCACAGAAATTAAAGTAGTAGCTGTTTCTCTTTGAGGAGAGAAGATGATACTGACCTCGTTTCTGCTCGTAATTGTCAATCTGAAAATGTGTGGGAAGGTATGCAAGAGGGTTTCTAATAATTCTGACTTCAATTTTCTTCTACCTAGAAGAAACCAGAAGATCAGCACTGCAAAAGCATGCATGTTTCTGGCCTGTCATGGGTAAAGCCTGGCTCAGTTCAGCCTTTCAGCAAAGAGGAGAAGACAATGCCTACCTAGCTCTTCTGGACTGTGGTGCACAGAACACTTTCTATGGGTGGAGGGAATGTAACGGAGGGAGAAACAGCAAAGCAGCAGTTTACGGATTAGTAAGAACTGAACTGCAGCAGTGACTCCAGTAAACTTGCTTGGATTACTCAGTGTCAGCTTTTTACCCATATGCGTTAGGTTTTAAAGGCTTGCCTGGAGTTTGGAAGTATCTCTGAACACTGCAGTACTTCAATCTGAAGACTGTCTAGAGTGGGTAATTCCTCAGGGCTCTGACATGCCTGGAGGTTTAGGGTTGCTTTTAAGCTTTTATTTTTTCCCTCCAGGAAATGGCTTTTTTTTTTTTTTTTCCTAAATTTAAAATGGCTGGCAGAAACACTAGCAGGAAATATGATGCCAGAATGCCAGAGGTAAGCTGTGTTCATGTAAACTAATATAGCAGAGTTAAACAATATATTTAATGGTTTTAAATACTTTGGTTTCTATTGTAAATATGATAGGATTTGAAATTGTAAATAGATGGTTCAGTGACTCCATTTAGCACTTTCCAGAGATAAAGCTGAGGATGATCCTCAGTGGATGACGTACTATTGATTTGTAAATGGATGCTGTCACTAAAGCACACATTAGTCTGACAGGGTCGAAGAAGAATGTCAGGCTTAATAGACTTTTATTACATAAACACTAAAATCAAAGGTTTTAATGGTGGTCTCTTGAGCTAATAAAATCGTAGAGGATTTTAGATTCCCTAGGTGTCTACGCTGTAGGGATTAAATAGAATAGCTTGACTAATGTGTGTTACTGGTGACATCTTAAGAAAATAAAATGGAATCATCACTTTGCATCTGTCCAACTGTTTGTGTTTTAGACACCTAGTAAAGCCTGGAACTGGGCTGGAAGTGCCTGGCAACAGAAGTGTTTGTAGGTGTCCTGTTGTGTGCTGAAGAGACTGGTTGAATGGTTTTGTTCCACATCTAGGAGAAGCTTTCTGAAGCTGGTGTGAGTTCAGGGCAAAGTTTTCTACTTTGCATGAGAGTCCTCCTGATATCCTAATCCAGCATAAGCTCTTATTGCTGCAAAGCGGGATTTCTCTAAAATCCAGAACTTGTGGTGCTAGCCTGTCACTGTTGGGCCTTTTTTCTTTAAGTCATGCTCATATCCATATGTTTGGTATTAATGCAAACCCTGCTGACCAGAAACAAGGTCTGGTGACTTTGTATGTAGTCATGGTATAAGTTTTTGGGTTTGTTTGTAGCTTTTGTATTACAGAAACTAAATCTGCGTGTCCTAGAACAACCTTTCTATCTTAGAGAACAGATTCTTAGCTTTTAAGGAAACGTATAATGACTGCACAGGTGAAATACTATCATATCCCAAGTGATTAATTTAATAGTGCCAAAGGGTGATGTGTGTGGTTTCTGCACAGCACTTAAGGATGTACGAATTAAGGCACAAAAGTCTTAATGTGTGTTGCTTTGAGGCTTTTGAAGGTTCTGCCTTGGAGATGCAGTGGTTTCCTGGGGCTGGCTGGGATGTCTCTTGTACTTCTGGAATTCCTGTTGTGGTGAAGAGGACTCTGGTCATGTAAATCAGTACAGCTGCCTTAAATATCCTTAATGGCTGCAAATGCATGGTGGGTTTTTTATCGGGAACTGTATTGATAGTGATGTTTCAGCTGTACTGAAAATCCTGTGTCTGGGAGGCTGAGCACCTGCCCCAACTGCAGCACTGGCTGTGTGTGCTGGTGGCAGCTGTGGTGTCCCCTGTGCAGCTCCTGGGTCACCTCAACATGGCTGTGGTCGCTGCTCCCCGGGATCTTCACTGAGCAAGAGCTCAGCTTTTCTCTGGTCTTGATTTGTCCAGTGCTTTTAGGTATCTTAGTATCTCTTAATTACTGCTGTGCTTTGTAGTTTGTATTGTTAGGGAGTAAGAGGTAGCTCGTGTCCACCTAGTGCCTTTCCAGCACTTCAGTGTGCAGACACAGGTGTTCTCTCAGCCCGTGTGTGGGGCACAGTGCTCACAGCAGCTGCAGTTTAAATCGGGGATTATTTCTGGGATGGGGGTTGAACTGATGGACAACTGGCTTAATGCTTGGAAAATGTTTCGTTGCTGTATAACCTGTCTCTTTAATTGCAGTGCAGCTGATTTTCGTGCTGGGTGGGGAGAACTTCTCTAGCTGTTGTTATTTGCATTACAGGGAGAAAATGCCTGATAGTACTAAAGATGTGTTTGTTCATTTTCACACATTTTCACCTTGTAACAAGTATGCGTGTGCCCCTTTCTAACAAATCAGTTCAGGCAGTGAAGCACAACTGCTGTCCTGCAGCTTCTCTGCTAGGGTAGTCTCTAGAATGGAGTACTGTGTACTTGAAGAGGAGTTTAAAGCAGCGCTGGACTTGAGAAAGGAAGAGCTAAACTCCTTCTAACTTGGTACAGAAGGAAAAGACATCCTGGTGTCACTCACCACGGTTAAGACTTCTCCTCCAGTAGCCCTGCTGGCCTGTGTCTGAAGGGGCAGGGGAGCACCAGGCATGTTGGAACCACCAGAAGACCTTTGGGAACTTCCACTGGAAGCCAGGAGTGGAGTAACTGATCTGAAAGGTGAGCTGTATTATGTGCTAAGTGATGGTTTTGTTTCAAGAAAAGGTTTCTGTGAAGGTTTCTACTGTACCGGCCTGTGGTGTAGCTACTCAAATACTGTGAATGTTCATTCTCCTGCTGCTCTTAGTTCTCTTTTCTTGGGGAGGCTGAAAGTCGCATGCTTCACATTCAGTATTTGTGATATTTAGTGAAGCAGGGACTCCTGTGGAACAAAAAATGGGCCTAGAATTTGGACTGAATGCAATGGAGCAGTGAGGCAGGGAGCCAGAAGCAGAGCACGGAACTGCAGTGTTCCTTTTTAGTTACCTTGATCGTTATTTGGGTACAGATTTCCTAAGCTGCTTAACTGAAGGCCTTGCTTGGAAATTCAATCCCTTCTAATTGTGGGATGCTCTGTCATTTCAGCAGGGAAAGCTTAATTCTGATGGTGTATGAACACCAAGCTACCGTGGGGTTGGACAGGGAATGCATGCAGGAAATTGATGGCCATACGGAACAGCTGTAACCATCTCCCATCAATTCAGAGATGTGGTTACAATTGTTTGTCTGATTGTTGCTGGGGTTTAGAAAAGACCACAATTAAAGGAAAGGCAATAACAAGAAAGGAGCTGAAATAATGGTTATTTGAGTAAGTTTTGTTTCTTTGAGGGCAGTCTGGATTTCTTAGTGAAGCCCATGTTAATAGCAGTTTACTTACGAGAAAATAATTGTATATATTTAAAGAATGCTGAATTTATTTCTAGTTCAAAATTAAGAAATGGCATCATCTCTTTTTTTGTAGATTGAAAAAGGGAAGAGTAACAGATCACCTGTAAGCAGTTCATGCTCAAAAAGGAGCTGTTCCAGGAGCAAGGCAGGCAGACAGCACCCAAACTGCACTTTGGTGCCAAATGCTTTTCTCCAGCACTCAGCTGTTATCTTTCCTATTACAGCTGTCAGTCATCTCATGAAAAACGGACTGAAAATGTTGCAGTCTCTGTCAATACTTGGCTGAAATAACATTTTAACAACACTCAGAAGTGTAATGCTTACAATTCTGATTTCTGTAAAGAATATTTCAGAAAGAGAAATGGAAGTTACGCTAGCAGGAAACATTTTAAAACTACGACTTAAACCGTGCAAGAATAATTTTTTTTTTGAGTGAGTAGTTAATGCAGCATCGCCCTGTTACCTGACACCCTGAGTGCTGATGTCTGACTGAGCTGCTTGTGATTCAGTACATGGTGTGCCTGGGAGCACCCAGCCTCGTGCTATTTTGGTGTCTGTGCCGTCGGCGCAGCCTTTGACAGATGCACACTGGGGGAGGCTTTGCCCGTATGAAGCTTTCTTCACACAAGCCTTATGATGAGTTCTTTATTGAAAAATACACTTGCAATATTTTCATACAAATTAATGTAAATGGTACAGAATAACAAGAATTGTCTGACAAGTTCATAAATATTTTTACAGGAACATCTACACCACTGCTTGACTTCAGGCCTTCTTACACAGGTAAGAACAAAAGACGCTTTTATTTTACCTTAACTGATTTTACTGCGGAATTAAGTCCTAAATCTTCCCGTTATTCAAAGGAGCGGGGATGAATGAGAACACTGAGCTTTCAAGTTCTGCTTCCTTATAAAACCTTCTAGCATCTGTGTGTGCTGAATTTTACAAGAACAACAACATTGTCCCCAGTTGTCCTTAAAGATGAATAAGCTGGCATAGGACACTAATTCTCAGGAAAGGTCTGAGCATACCAACAAGGTTGGTATTTTAGGATTAATTTAAATGAAAACAATTAGTAGATCTAATTAATATATGCATTGCTTTCTTATACCATTAGCAGGAGAGAGATTTCTCCCAGGCAGCCTGATTCTGTCCATTAAAAAAACCAAACCCCTCTCTCTCTGTCCTTTAAAACCACTCCAAAAGCACAGTGTGCATCTTTAAGAGATCGAGGCCACCTTCCTTCTACTGAGGAAGTGAGGGCCGATTCCTGACTCTCAAGCAGAGCAATCTGAAGAAACAACGCAAGCGTAAATAAAATTTCTTGACCAAAGCCCACATCCCTGACCTCCTGCATTTGTTACTGCATGCATGTAACGTTAAAATGAATTCTTAATGCCGTTTGCTGAAGGAGAGCTGTGGGATGTCAATTTGAAAATAAATACAAAAATTGGATTGCTTCCATTAAGAAAAATGGCTGAAGTCAGCCTTGAAAAAGATATTCACATTTAGAAAGTGCCATTGCAAATATACAGCAAAACTCATCTGCCTTAAAACCAATGCTTCACAGCCCTATCAAAAGTGCCACCTTTTGAACACGAGTTCACTTTAAAACATTGCACAGCTAACAACAGTGTGTAAGTGGAGTTAGCTACTTCTATACAACAGGGTGCCCAGATGTTACAGCAAAACAGCATGGTGGATTTGGTGGCACACAAAGCATCCCGGATACATACAGAATCCATACAGGTAGCTTCCTTCAGCTCTCAAAAAGCTTATTCCTATCTTCCCTTTCCAAGCAGAAAAGGCTGGACATTGCTAGACTATTACTTATAAATGATTATTTTTATGGCAGTCATTAATGCTTATTTTTTCCTTTTTTTTGTTTTTCCCCAGAACGTTTGGCTACGAGCGCCTTGGTACAATGCTCCCATGTTTGATACATATGCAACTTCCTATTACAAAGCTGAAAATGGTCAAGCATTGATGAAAACACTGTAAGTAGACTGGTTGAGCAAATAGATGCAAATACCTGCTGCTAGGTAGAAAGCTGTGCGAGGGACGCGTTCTCCAAGCAATAAAAAGCTTTGAACTGCCTAGTGCAGCCAAAGGCTGCAGGTAGGTCACCTGCCTTCCGACCAGCTTTACGACAGGCAGAGTGGAGCTGCAGAGTTCAGAACGCATCCTCCCTGTCCCTGGCACTGGGGAAGCAGAGGCTCGGCACAGCCCAGCAGGGACTGGTCACCACGGGCTGGCAGGAGCATCCCGATGCCTGCACGGCTTTGTGAGTCCATGGCATGCTCTGAGCCGCCAGCAGCAGAGAGGGCCTACCTGTGCTGAGCCCCTGCGCTCAGTGGGACCCTCGGTCGTTGGCTACATCTTGCAGTCGGCGTAACAGAGCAGTGTGGTTTTCCTGACAGATTCTCTTAGCTGGTGCTTCACTATCATCTTCTAAGAGAATGCCTCTCTTCTTGGTTGGCGTTTCTCCTGTTCTAATCATGCTGTTAATTTCCTTTAGCCTCTGGGGAGAGGTGGAAAGAAAAAATTCTCATTATTGTGGCAACAAAAAAAGCAGTGTTCTTGCTAGTCCCATTACTCTAGGCTTACAAATGCCTCAGTTTTGGAGCTTTCTGTAACAAACTAACCCTTTTAACCACTGTGCTGGTCCCATTACTGTATTCCAGAGTCTTTCTCAAGCAAGCCTTTTGTGTAAGTTTTTTGATGCTCTGCAGGTGCACGTGGAGCTGAAAGGCCTTCCAGCTGTAGTTATGGCATGTTATCTTACACCATAGGTGCAGAATTCCTATCCTGAATGAAGGTGCTGCTTGGAGAAGGCTTCTGCTTCTGGAGATGACGGGATTCAGCCTGTTCCATGTTCACCTGGTAAGTCTTTTTGTGCTAAGAGACATTTTTCCTCACTAAGTAGATAAGAGGGAATGACTGTGGTTCATGTTTGAGCCTCCATGCCAAACACCCCATCCTGTGGTGTCACTGATGTACGTGCACTGTTACAGAGGGCAGATTTAAAAGTACACAAGTGCCTTGGATACCTCATTGCTCTCCAGCTTCTTAGATCTGTAGACTGACAATCTGGAGACAATCTGGTGACAGAGTACATCTTCACAATGTACACTAGAAGGAGTGTTGTGCAGTATTCTCTACCATCACATCCCAACATAAATGACAGGATTCAGGATTTATAAAACCAAACTAACCCCCTTTAGTCTTACCTTAGATGGGCTGCTGCTGAAATAATAGAATATTTTCTCTCGATGAGAGAGAGCAGACACGTTTTTGTGGGGTGAGATGTACACCGGCTGGTTCTGAGTCAGCTGTACTCTGCGAGGAGAGCTAATTCTCACAAAGGGGTAGGGTGAGAGCGGAGGGGAGTCCGTCTGCTCAGGAGGAAAAAAAAACACTCAGCCGCTATGTAATCTCACTAAGGTGTCTACAGCAAGGCTGTTGTAAGCTGGTCATTTTAAGCACAGTTCAGATGTTTTTCTCACGGCCTTCCTTAGGACACAGCAGGATTTGTTGTACATCTAGGAAATATTAGTATTTTACTTTTTAATTGTATATGAGGCTGGTGGATGACATTCATTGGGGCCCTGTATTTCAGCAAGAGAAAGTAACAAATAGGCAGCAAAAGGGTTTAATCTTTCAGCACCAGATTATATACTTGAACTGGAATTTTTGTCATGGATACTCTTGCTTTCCTTAAGGTGAGGTTAGCTAAGGGTACTCTACTGCACACACAGTAAAATAAGATCTATTTACTAACAGAAGCACAGTGCTATCTCACCCCATTTGAAGTGTACTTCAGGGCAAATTCCTTGATCTGCTCAATGTAGATGCTGTTGTAGAACTGTATGAGGTCTCCTCGCTCTTCCTCCTCAGTATCGCTGTTTGCTCCGGTCAGGCGGGTGGGAGTAGGAGGAGCACTGCTGGGGTGGGGCACAGGCAGGGTGCTGCTGGAGCGCATCACAGGGCTGGAGTCTCTGCTGGCTGAGGACAGAAGTGCACACTCCTCAATCCCCAGCAGGGCACAGGCGCCTGCCCTCAGTGCTGGCAATCCTGCTCAGCACCCTCCCTTACAGCAGACCAGCGAAATGCTGAGTATTGCTACAGGAACACTTCATTTCTAACAGCTTAGTGCATGAGCTGAAAGTGATTTTTCTGTAGAAGCTGAGCTAAAAATCCATTTCTCAGGCATTTCCCCTGTAATTTGCCTTGTTGCCAGCTGGCCCAACTTCAACTGAGGAACGTCAGTCTTTCTTTCGGCAAATGGTAGCAATATTTGCCTTGGTGGTACTTTTGCTTTTTTAATGTGGGAATTTGTGGAATACATTATTTTTGTCCCTCCCCTCCTTGCCCCCTTTCTGTGACAGAAAACATGAAAATGTACGGTTGTACTGTCAAGTATTTGAAAGCTGGTTGTAAGAATATGCATGCTCACTTTCACTTGCTTTTTTATGCAAAATTCAGTCAAGGAAAAATGTGTTAATTCAGGTATCGAGGCTAGAATCTTTGTCCGCACTCCAGAGACATGAGCAGTGCTACACCGGATGCTGGGAGGGGCTGCTGGTGGTTTTTATCTATGAAGCCAGCCAGCTGCTGCCTCTCTGCTAAACTATTAAAAGGCACTGCTGTGGACATGCTACTTTCACTCTACATCATGTTCTCTGGTGTCCAAACTTACCTGAGGAGTACACTTAAGGTAAACACACGCAGCGACAGATTTAAAACTGCACTGTCACAGCAGGTGCAATGCTAAGCTTCACTTTGCAAAACAACTCTTGCACGTTGTTGGTACGTTCTTAATTGCAGCTAAGTTTACTTAAGAAGGAACTGTTTGGTGTGGGGGGTGACACAAAATCCAACTTGTACCCTAACTACACTGTTCTGAAAATAGGATTAAAAATGAACATCTGGAATTTGGAAACACTCACTTCTTTCTTTACTTCTCTCCTTACTTCTGTCTGTAGGGGAGTTCTGCTGGCTGCTGCTGTCACTGCTGCCAGACTGGCGGCGGCGTCTCCTGCCTTTTATCAGCACACTCCGGTACACCTGCAGGGAGACAAGAGCAGCACAGCACCTGTGAGTGATGCGCAGTTGCACAGTCTGGAAGCAACAGTCTGCACCATACATCTGCTTTTAGAACACTGTTTGACATCACATTGTTTTCTATAGGGGAAAATGCAGGCAGCTTCCTACCTGTCATCCAGTAGGTACTGTTGATGGAGGTTGTAAGTGAAGATAAGTTAAATTACAGGTACAGAAAAAGCTTTCACTAGTGCAAGATTTGGGTGCGACTGCTATTTTTAAGGACAGTGGCTCTGAGAATGCATCATTTAATATTTATTAGATGATGTCATTTATTAAATGCCTCAGTTCTGCTTCGGGAACGAGGAGATTTCTAACTGTACTTACGTGACTCTTGGCTTGCGGTTGTGTCCGGTAGCAGCGCATAATGTTCTGGAACGACCTGTCTTCCTTTGTAACCTAAGAATAGTCAGTATTAGACCTCCTGTGGTAGCTTTTGGTTGTTTTCTTCCCCCACCGTTTGGTTTGCTGAGGTTGTTTTTGGGGGTTGTTAGAGCAATCTCTGAACTACCAAGCCTTAGAAAACGTGTGTTTTTGTTCAGCTTACCTTGGCCATTACGTAGATGGCGCACATCAGCAGCTGATCCAGATGCCTGTCCATCATGATTTCAGGGCAGTGCATCAGGGAATACTCAAAACACGTCCAGACTTTTTTCCGCAGCTCATCAGATATATCCAGTTTGACAGAGAGATCCCGCAGACGAACACTTGCTAAATGATACACCTGATGGAAGAGAGACAGTGCAGGGACCGCGTCAGCAGTGCTTCTTATCCAGGTTAGAGCGCAGTTTGGACATGTGTGCTCTGTGAAACTCGTGCAGATGATAAGCTAATGACAAATACTGGAACTATCTTCTGCTTACAAGAAACAGACACTATTATACTGGTACTAATGCTAAAAAAGCATTTTTTTTTTTAATTCTGCAATTCTCCAGATTATTTCTTCAAGATACTCTTGAAGTACAAAAACAGCACCTATAGAAACCTCTGTATTGAATAAACAAGAATATTTCAAAAGTGAATTTCTTTCTTTAAGAGCCTTAAAGAAGATGGACATGTTTAAGCAGCTGCTAGCCACAGCTGTAAATCTACTTCTCAGCTAGTGACAGCTGTACTGTTCAGCTACTCTGACAGTGAGAAATTTCTGTACAGGAAACCAACCCTTCAGGTATGCATCTGAACAAACAAAACATGTCAGCTTGGAAACTAAATATTCTCTTATTAATATTAGAAGTAAGGAAATATTTCAGCATCACAGAAGAGCTACCAAAATACAAACTAAGCAGGCTAAAAAGTACCTTTCTAAAGAAGAGGGAAAGCGAGCCCATCTTCCGGGAGCGAGCGGCTGTGGCAGTGAGGTGCTGGGCTGGCCTTGGCTCCCCAGAGGTGATGTGCTGAACAGTGACCTGTCCTGGGAGCTGCAGCGTTGCCCCTGACACCTGAGTGCTCAGAGTGCCCGTGAGAGCCTGGGCACTGAGGGGCTGAATGGAGCCAGAGACAGCTTGAGGCTGGGCCCCTACGTTTACCTGCACTGGGAAGAAAGTTATTCCTCCATTTTCATTGGCGATACCTGTAATTTAAGGAAGAGTTTGACATAAGAGCAAGGTGGGGTGGTTTGTTTAGTGTGGATGGTTGTTTCCTGTTAGAGCTTTTTCTTAATAGTTCAGTAACACTTAAATTAGTTGCTTATAGTTTGTAGCATACTATAGAGACAAAATGTTTTATGAAAGTACTTGGAACTTCTTACCATAAGGAGACAGGAAAATAACGGAATTGAGCTGATCTTTAACTGTAATGTCACTTTCTTCCAGTTGAGGAAGCAAAGGTCACTGCAATAACCAAGTCGCTAATCCACAGTCAGTGAACATCTTTGTGCCCTGTGTCTTGTCTCTAAATTCCACTGATACAGTTCTTCCCCACTATAAATTCTTAAGCCTGCTTTTCTGCTCTGGGTGTGCTGTTTTCCCCCCACCCCCTGACTGTATACTAACATCTGGATAGAAATTGGCCTCATCTGACAGCAGCTCTTCTCTTACCTTGTACAGGAATGGTCACAGTTTGCCCATTGTTGGCTGTTACGGTGGCGGTTGCTACTGTAACCAATGTCTGACCAGGCACTGGAGTTACTGACACTGCTTCAGGATTCACGTTCTGCACAGGCACCGTATTTACCACGGGCTGCTGGGAAACTCTGACTGGAGTTCCGTTGTCGGAGGTATTATCGTTATCAACAAACAACCTTCTCCTGGTAGGGTGGGCTGTAGGAGAGCTGTATCTGTCATACAGGGTAGTAGGAGAAGATGAAATGCCTGTGGATTTAAAAAAAACCAAAATCTTATTGTAAAATCCCTTATAATACAAATAGATTTTAAAAAATGTGATGAGACCCCAAATGTGACAACTGGAAGCATTTAAAATTAATGTCTACATCTGTGGCTTACAGATTATGAGATGACTTGATCTCAAATAACACAGTGCTGAATATCTTTTCCTCAGAGACTGTATTATGCTTTAGTTCCCCAGAAAAAGCCTGAAGCCTCACAGAACTAAACATACATTGGAGCTTCTAATCTGGTGTAACAAAAAAGCTGCTCAGGTGCTACTGATCAGAACAGATGTACTTAAACACATACATGTGTGTACACAGATGTCCTTTGTAGATATAAGCTCCTGAAACCAGTGACAGAGGACTGTTTTGATCTGAAATAACGAATGTTTCTGTCTTAGACAACTGATGCGACTATGCAAGTTACAACAGAAATAGCATTTACAAGTGCCTAATTCATGCACAATTGTACATAAACCACTAGAGCAGCTTCCTTCTGTACGCCATTCAGATTTGTAAATACAGGGCATGGTGTAAGAGTGATAAATACACTGTGCTTAAAAAACAGCTCACCTTTTCCCAGGCCTCCGGTTTCAGCTCGGACCTCATTTAGTCGTCTTGGTGTCAGTGGAGAACCCACAACACTGTTGGCAGCAGATCTCTCAAAATACTGAGGTGGCATGACCTGAAATAGTTGTACTGTTATTAGTGTGTCTGTGGCACAAATGATTTTTAGAACTACCAGTCTATGAATGTTGAACAGTGAAACTATACGGAGGAAAAGAAAAATGAAGAACATTGAAAAATTACTGTAAACTTAACTTTAAAACTTCGTAATGATTGTACTACTCTAGAAAATACAATCCTGTAATAATCATTCTGTGACTGTAATTAAGAGTCTGTTCTTAACCAGACTCCTGTAGCAGTCTTCTCAAGTGTGACTGTTTCATACCTCCTCTGTGTTCATTATTCACTGTGCTCCTACTCTAAGCAAACACGGGGTGAGAATCACATCAGCTGGATGCCTGTGTTTGGACATCTCTGCAGTGGTAACAGGTCACACACAAACACATGCAGCTCTTTCTCTGCCCCGCTTAGCTTGTAGGGAGAAACTGAACTCTGGGCATACAATGCTGATGTCCACTCTCCACCATTCTGTTTGAACAGATGTGTTAGGGGTACAGAGACGTGCTCACCTCTTCGCAGCTAGGAACTTTGTTGTCGTTATCTCTGATTCTGTCCCACAGTATGGACTCCTGTTTCCAGGCCATGCTTTCCAAGATCTGTTCTTCAATATGATTAAGGTGTTTTACAACTTCCCGACAAAGGCCATCTTCTGCTCTAATGAAAACCTCAATTACCTGTAATGCAGAGAGCAATGAAGTCCTTGTGGTACTGAATAAACCAGTGACTGAGTATAATATTCTTGTTTTCATATATTTCTTCTTACAGTGAAATTAGATCCTAAATGTTCAAGGAAGAGACTAGTACAATTATTAGACTGTGTCAGTATGGTTCAATTGTCTGGTGGGCTGCAAGTTTATCTGAAGACAGGTACGTGTATCTTGCCACAGCAGCAGTGAATGCAGAACAGCTGCAGCAGCAGCTCAGGATCCCTGGTCACTAGCTCAAGATAAATGACAATCCTTAGTCACTTGCACACTGCTCCTATGTGAAACTGATTACCAGTAGTCTGATCTTTAAACGCCCAAACCAGCTGTAAAATACTTTCAAGACAAAAAGGGGCAATGCTAAGAATGAAGAGTTAATACACATTTAGGTAAGGAGATTATTTAATATAAGCCAAGAGTACACAGGACTTGATAAACATTTCTAGCTCTTACTTTACCTTATAGAAGTGATAAACTGGAATGTCAAATATTTCAGTGATGAAGGGAAAGCTTCCAGGTAACTTGTACGTGAAGGTGACAATCTCAAGGCAGCACGCCAGCAGGGAGCGATGAAACACATCTTGCTCCAGTACTGCCTGCAAGAGAGTTGCCCAATTTAATGCTTCATTTACAGTGTAACAATAGAACTGCATGATGCTTTCTGTTCTGCCTCAACAGTGAGATTAGAAGGTTTTTAACTAGACATTTGCTTTTGTACATGATAGGACAGAATCCAAATTAAGACATCCTTATTCTTTGTAAATTTTATATATCCTTTTTGTTCGCAAAGGTGAATAATTTCTTGGACAGCTTTTCTTCCATTCAGGAATGCCTTCCGACTACTCAAGAGATTTACTCATCTAAAATAGCATTATCCTGTCCTATAAATATTTTCTTTGTTGCAGATCCAACTTTAAACACAAGGTGCAATTGGAGGAGTTGTCCTTACAGATAAGTCTGCATCTCCCAGTCTCCTCCTCTCTTGCTCAATGACCAACTCCAAAACCTTGTAGTAGAGTACCTCAGCACGACGAAAATGCTTGCTGGCCACATCTGCAGGAATTTTCAACAGAAATAATATTGTGAATTGTGATAAAAGAATCATTATTTATCTTAATCTACAGAGTTAAAACAACAGCTTATTGCATGGATTTCTGTGCAGCTGTGGCTACGCTGCTTTCAGGACTAAATGGGACTCATGTTCAAGGGTTAATGTTAGCCATGGAATCTCTCTACTGCACTGAAACGTGATTGCAGAGCACAGCAGCTTCGTACTGAACTCAGAACTTGGTAAAAAAAACACCATGTGTAAGAACAACCCTTATTACTGCTAAAATAAAAAGTATTTCAAGATCAGAAAATACAGTGTTTGGAAAAACCTCTGTGGGGATCCAAGCACTCTGCAAGACAAAGTGAACAACTGTGTTGATGAGCACAGATACAAAGTACAAAGCACCTATTCTTAAAAAATTTTAATTACTTTTTTTGACAGAAATGCACACTTAGATTTGAGAGAAGAAAAACAGTTCTGAGAGCTTTTCTTTCCTCCCTTTTGTAGAACATAAGAATATCAAATTCCAGTAATTTATGCCAAGTATGATTATGAAAGTTTATACAGGGTTGAAAGTTGCTCTATCTGAAGACTAGCAGGAAAAGACAAGAAATAGAAAAGACTCTTGTGCAAAAGCACAGTGTCTACATAAGACAAAGGTTACTTAGAAGAGATCAGTATTTTTAAATGCACATAAATTCCAATTTATGTAAGTAAAATGTTTCCCACCTTTGGTCAAATTACTGAATTCTTCTTCAGACTGCATGCTCTGGCAGTATACTTCACACATCTCTTTCACTCTGCTTGCAATAGACTGTGAAGGATCTCTGGAACATGCCCTGAAAATACAAGCTATTTCAGTGTCCTACTTCTGCTAAGACAAATACACACACAAAAGAAACCAACAACAAAAAGACCTACAATACAATTAAAGCATGAAGCTGTGAAATATCTTTGATAGATAGCAACGCAAACACACCCACACAAGCCTTGCTGCACATGCACTACAAGACAGCTACAGCATATTATACTTTAGTGAGTGTCAACTCTTCTTAAGAGTTTAATACTAAACACATTCCATGCAATATAACAAGTGCTTTGTAACATACTGTACCTGAGCCAAAGACTTATGTACACGGAGAAAAAGAAATTATTTTTGATCTCCTACAGAATAGAGTGAGTTGCCAGGTAGTGAAGCTGGCTAATTAGTAAGAAACATCTTGAAACAGTTGCATTTGCATTTTGCTGTTAGGGAAGCTCAGAATGTTGGGTTGAGAACGCTGTGTGTTCTTACAGCTGTCAATCTCTCAAGGATTGTGTAGAAATAAAGACAAGAGTCTCTGAAGTTAAATGTCCCTCTGGCTCCTATTTCACTTCAGACTTCCAGAACTTAAATCACACTATTTAACAATAACATTTGTTATTATAATTTCACCTTTAAATGAGTTTTTTTGTTAGCTACGCATCAAGCTTACCTGAAGATTTGCTCCAGATTTTCACTGGGGGCATTTTTCAGCCCTGCCAGCATGGTGTGAAGGCGGCTCAAGCTGTAGGTCGCGATGGAAACAGGTGTCACATAGGGGTTGCTCTCCTTCACGTACCTGCGGCCAGTGAGGGGGGTCGTCATCCGAAGCGATTTAGACTAAAAAGGAAAAAAAGCTTCTGTCTGTACATTATTACAAAACGTAGAGCTTCTGAGAGACCTAGGCAGGTGCTAGCATTGTTTCTTAACTGGTTATAATATATATCTGGGAAAAGGGAGCAGGAATCAAACAACCCAAACCAGTTCACTCTCAGTAACAGCCAGCAGCCACAGGTCTATCTGTCACCTGGATGCTGGTGTCAAATACTCATGTACAAGTGTCTGAGCAGTGACAAAATGACCTCACACTGAAACACCAGAACTGGACAACTCCTTCTCCACAAAACCTGCAAGGGACCGTGCCAGACTCACTCTGTCAAAGTGTTGCTGTAAATTATGCTTCACTTGTACTCGCTCAGCTGTTTCCACTCCTGAGGGTGTATTTAAGTACCGTGTGAGAGTTCCAATTTCTTCATCTGCATCTTCCCCGAGAAATATTCGCTCATCGAGATTTCCTACTGACAAGACATACTCCTCATAGGCCTTGTTGATGGCTTTGCTATGGAGGAAAAGAGAGAGAAAACCCCTTTAATTAGACAGTGCTTTCTTTACCTGCTTTCTGACTGAACACACCTCTGCCCTGTCAAAAGGCTGCCTCAGAACGAACTTTAGCCTCAGTTAAAACCTACAATACCTTAAACATGACAGTGGCATTATTCTACCTTTGTAATTGATGCCCTGTCACTTCATATGGCAACAGAAGGAATGCAATACAATGCAGAGAACTGGTGGCATTTGGCTGGAAACTCCTCAGAACTTATGCAGCATCACATCGCCATACACTGCACTTGCCATTTCTGTACCATTTAAATGCACAGCTCAGTACCTCTAGGTTTAAAAAGCATGAAACATTACCACACTTGGTTCTTCCCTCCTCCCTGCCCCCACTCAGTGTGCCCCACAGCCTTTTCTTCCAAACACTTTACATTACATAGAAAAAAACATGGAAACATAAACAGAAGCAGACATTAAGCAATGCTATATTGAAAATGCCTCAGCCACCAAATAGCTGAAACACCTTTTAGTATAATATATGAACAGCAATACGTATATAAAGTAATAGTGGTAAGACACAGGTAATAACCCAAAGGGACACAGATGCAGACCAAAGCACAGGCTGACTCACAAGCTATCTCCAAAGTTTCCAGGATCTAGAAATCCAGTCAGATTTTCATCTTTTCCTTTTAAAAGCTGTAAGAGCAAAGAGAGGACATTTCAGTTGTTAAAGTTCTGAAGATAACAAGGAGGGAAACATTTTTCTGCATCCTGAATGCACTGACCAACCTTCTTGTCAAAAAGTTTCCGAATGTATGGCTTCCAAAAATGCTCCTTTATGCCTTTTGCTTCTAAAACCAATCCGTAATGTAATGAACACAGCTTTTCAATGATGCAGGGAGGATCAGATGATGCTTTATAGTCCTTACTATGAAAGTCTTCAGGCAGACCTATAAGTACAAATAGTGATGTTTAATTTCTTATATTCATACCTTACTAAACTCAAACTCTTTGCTATGTGGCCTAGGCAGTCTGAAATTAAAACATGAAGTTTGTGCCCTTGAAAGAAACGCAGTGTGCCCTCAATTGGATCATCTTATCAAAACTGCCTTTCAAGTGACAAACCTAAACAGCTGAGATATTCGGTGATAGAAAATATCAGTTCTAGCAGAAAAATGATGAAGCACCTATGAGTGGCAGTGTTTATTCAAGTTGGAGATAATGGTCCCTGCTCACATCCAAGCCACCACAAGATAGTGAATACTACAGGATACTGAAAATGAGGGGTAAGCATTGAAAGAGTTACACCCAGGTTCAGAGGAAGCTTCTCACCATCCGCTCATATGTTCAGTTACCAAGTCAGCCTGTGCTTCCATTCTTTTCATAAGGAACAACCCAAAAGGGAGAGAAACAGTCAGGGTGCCTGCTTTGTATCTGAGCACAGGATCTTCCCAAACTGCTGCCTGGGATCTCTACAATGTGACCTGTCCCACAACGACTGGGTCATTACACAGTTTCACTGCCATTAACATATCATTAACAAAACTTCTCCTCTGGAAGTCCTTCAGTGGTACTTCCATAGTTCACTGAGATCTTGACAGAGTTCAATTCTGTGTTCCCATGTCACGCTGGTAGAAATAAAACTGCATAGTCAGACAGAGAAAATAATTCCCTCTACTACATATCTCCATATCCATTTCAACTGCCTTAGAAGTTCATGCAGATTTTAGATAAAGACTTCCTTTTTTTTTCCAACATACCTTTAAAATTGGGATTCAGAAGTTCTTTATGGTTAGGGCACTGGAGAGCATTTCCATACACTAGATCCAAAGCACATAACAAGAGATGATAGGAATTGACCAAGTCATCACTGATCATGGGAAAATTACCTTTGGTACAAGAAAGATAAATGAGATTAATTAAAATCAGCATCGATTTGAAATTATTTTACAAAACAAAACTATCCAGACTTGTATTTCCAATCAACAGTGGAGTATTTTAAGCACAGGTTTTGGTGACTAGATTGTCAATATCTGGATAGAAACACAGGAAGTAAATGGACACACAGTTAAAATGAAGCACATATAATTGCTTTGGTTCACATTTACATTCAGTTTCCTGATTCCATGTTTGTGAAACAATAATTTCAAAGTGGATAATTGAAGCTATTTAAAATAATGAAGCTGAAATGTAATTTGTATTAACTGTACATTTTCATCAGTTCTTTCCACACCATTACATCTTCATGACAGAAATCGAAGTCCTAAACAAATACAACAGCAAAATGTCAATCAATTAATACCTTAACGAAGTGATGCCGTAACAGGATCTCACAAGCATGAAGTCTGGCATGGCAGTAGCTACTGACAGCCAAGTCAAAATAGATCTCATTCTACACAGCCAGTAGTTTCATAAACAATGTGTGAAGTCAGTGACATTCCAAACAACAGTTCAGTGCTCCCTTCCACAGCCAAGCATGAAATAATACAAACCAGTCATATTGATGTAAAAGAGATCTTCTTTTTTAAATTTCTATTTTAAAGAAAGTACAATGTTACAGAGTCTACAAATAAATTCATGAAAGCAGCACACAAGAGCAGCTCTATGGCTATGAAGGTCACTACCTTACTTTGCAGCATATACCAAACGTACGAACGAGTCTTGTGCTTTCTGCACTTGTGAAACCAAACACAAGATGCTGAAGCTTGCAGAAAGATCATGGTGACAAGCCTCGACTTGCTGCTGATGTGTGGTTGCCATGATAAGGATTACTGCCAGCCCTCAAAACACAGCAAACAAATGGGGAATATTTCATTCCTCCGGTGGTATACATTCAGTTTGTATTTTTGTACTGCTTTATACACTTCATACACAGTCTTGTACTCTTAATGCATTTACCACTAGTCACTTGTTAATTCTGCAGTCTGTTAGTACTGTAAAAAAACTGTCTTGTAAAACCTGATGGGCTGTTATCAACACTGTGTTCTAGTCCACAAAGTTAATTTGTACGTCTGAAACTGCCTGCCAACCAACAAGCAGTTAATGGTGACCTACTCAAACATACCAAGCAATAACTCAGCAGGAACAAGACCCTCTCAGACCCTCTGCTCCTGTTCAGGAGCAGCATGCAGCCTGTGCAGAAGCAGCAGCTTCCATACAGGACAGCTGTTTGGTACAGCACCTTTTATACTCCTGCAAAGATCCAGGGGTATTGCCAGTAACTTTTCCAAAATGAAGCCTGCTGGCAACCCTCTGCTTTGTGGCAAGAAGAAAGGCTAAGCTGGACAGGACAAAGCTACTGCCAGAAATTCCATACTGAGACAACCTACTGCAGTCTATCCTCAGAAACAACCAGTGAGACACATCACCTGCACTGACTGACCTTGCAATCCCAAACAATCCTTCTCCCAGAAGAACTCTCTGGAAATTACAGATGGGACAGAATACTACCTAACTTATGTTCAAAGAATTCCCAGTGAACTCATCCTACTGTACCAGAATCAATTCCTACTGATGAAAGACTGTAAATTATGCTGTATGGCTGAACAACTGAAGCCTAAAATTTTGGGGGCTTCACTGTCCCTCATGCAAAAGGATTTACTTCTGCTCCCTTCTGTCTTTTTCTCCAATCAGTCATCAAGAAGAAAAATGACTGAAATCCTCTGCTATTCGTATTAGCTTTAAGGGTGCTTTTACAATAAAGGCAATAGATGCATGGCAATATATTGGCTCCTCCCTGCTTTGTTTCCATGGAAGCCTGTTAACACAGCATTTCCATGTGTATATTCCAAGGGAATCTGAGCCTGCAAGACAGCCACTTACATACCTACTGCCATGTCCAAAAAGCAAACGACAATCACCCTTGTGAAAAAGATGCAGACCTACTTAGTAATGCATATAATTATTCAATACAATTACTGTATGCACATTTTTGAAGGGTGTGTATGAGCAGGGGTAGATAAAAAATCCCAATGCTACTTGTGACAATGCCATGAAAGTAGCCTCAGCTACAGTTTCATGACACATCTTTGCTACGTTACAGAAAAAAATCCATTACATATTATCACCACTGCTGGAAACGTACAAGGAATTTAAAGTCATCATCGTCGATAAAACATAATACTTTATATTAATTACAGCTGTCTAAATATGAATTCACTAAAACTCTGAGCTAATTTTCCCTTACAGCTTAAATTGCCAAAACACAGGGAACACAGGAGCAGTATTTCAGCTGAAGCTACCGACGTGTTGGGACACACTGCTTACCTCAGACACGTGGTAAAACACACCGCTGCAGAAACCTAAGTGCATTTGTTCAGGCTGCTCCAAGAAGGCTCTTTCTACTAAGGGCCTGCAGCTATCTCATGTTTACAGACTGATACAGACCAGTTTTTTGTAGTATTCAGTCTCTTTGCAATCTCTTACCTTTTGCATGAACAAACAGCACCCAGCAAAACTGGAAAACTTCGGTTACTGTGCACGGCTGTCGCCTTTTGGGGAAAAACACAGCGAGAAGACACAAAAGCTCAGTGAATTACGACAGACGTTCCAGCATTCTGAAAGAAAGTCCAGCTTTGCCATAGAGCAGCTAAAACCATGGCCCTCCCCCCAAAAAACAAAACCAAAAACCTGACTGAAGTAACACCGTGGCTGCTCAGAGCTTTACAGCAGACACAGCGGAAACCCCAGCCTCAGCCAGCACGCAATTCAAACATCACGACACCAACAGAGCACCACACTCAGAATGCCTTCTGAAGTCTTCTGAGCAATGTAAGCACGTGTGTATGTTCTGCAAGGCATGCGTTACACAGCATGCTGGCATTAACAGGCTGTTTGCTCACAGACTTCACCTACATACTTTGGTAAAGTGTTTTGTCCCGTAGAATTTTACACACTATGGAGAATTCTGAAATACGGGGTTTACCAACATTAAGTTCTACTAGTTTTGACTGCCATTCGTGAGGCCCTTCCCTCTGTCCATCAGGAGTTCTGTACCGACCTGGGGCTACTTACTTCTTAGTTCTGCTACTTACACCAGTTTTCCTCAGCACCCATCCTAAACATCCTTAACTTCATAATTCTGGCTAGTAAGTTCAGCCACTGCACTTGGAAACAGGAAAATCCTGGCACAGTAATCAACTCATCTAAACTAGTATTATTTTACTCATTTGCAGTACATACTTACTGCAAGGAACATTTAAAAACAAGCAACAGCCCCCACCCTTCTCTAGCACCCCTTTTTGTTCAACACCCCTGCTTGTTTCCATGTAGCACATACCTGAAGTGCTATCTCACACACCACATCCCAGCCTCCAGACAGTACGTATGGACAAGAAGGTGGCAGCAGATATGTTTTATCCGGTATGATCACAGTCCTTCTAGAATTAGTTCTATTTTAATTCTCACTACCAGTTTAGACCATAAGACAGGTGCGAGCCTCAAAGCTAAAAGTTTGCACGACGCAAACAGTCCTTATTGGGTTTTCTCTGTTTCTGGAAGCACCATTTGCTCCATAATTCTGTTTTTAGTATTATTTATTTTATTTAGCACTATATACCAAAGCTGGAAATTCTTCTTTCATTCAGACCAAATTCACTCACAGCAAGGTCATGATCTCAATTTCAGCAGTAGTTCTGTCAGCCTGAACTCATTTCTTTGGTTACTCCATCAGGTTACATGTTAAATGTTAAAAGTGTGCACATTTCACACAAAAACTTGGAATTACCCTCTGACTTAATCTTCAAAATAAATTCACACTTTGCTATCCAAACAAACTTGCAGAGCTTACTCTTCTAGCTGCAGAACTGCACACGTGCTATTATTTCAACATCGTGTGCTCATCTCAATATATCTGCAACTCAATATCGGTCGCAACTGCCACCATGTTATGCTCACAAAAACAATCAAGCCAAGAAACTGAGAAACAGAGAAATAAAGCTACAAAGTAAAATATGCATAAGATCTGTCTCTATAAAGAAAAGTAGAGGAATTAATAGGCAGGTCACCATGCTAAGCCATTCTACTGAGGCTGTACAGATCATAAAGGGATCTGATTCTTTCAGCCTTTTCCTCCCTACAATAGCATTTCTTTCACCTAAGGGCTGATTTTCATTTCTCCCTTTTATCTTTCTCCTCGGATCACAGAAGCTTATCAGCTTCAGGGCTTTGTGCACCCTGTCAGATCTGACAGACCAGAAACAAGATTCCAAAATCACTGTAAGCAAGGCCCAACCTCTGGTACCATAAAGAACTACTATGAAAATAAGTTAAAATACAATTAAAACAACCAAACAACTTCATCATGTTTTTGTAACTGCAACGGTCAAACATCAGTCTGTCAATAACAGAACCATACCTCTGTTTTCTTCCTCTCTGTTGACGGGGTGGATCTTCCTGAGGGTATCTGAACAAGTCCTGAAAAATGGGCTCATACTTCTTAAAAATTACTGCAGAGACTGTAAAGTTTCTCTCCAGTCTTTCAGTCCTTTCTCGGAACTGGGAGGGCAGGTTTGCCATGTCTTCCCATTTCTTCATCTTGTTAAAAAACTCAATCAAGCTGAAGATATCAAACAGATTAGATCTCAGAGGGTTGGCTGTTTGCTTCTGTTTTCACTTTGTTTTGCAGAAACGTGCTCTAACTGTATATTTATTTACAGCAAAAGTACAACTTATACTTTCCAAACTACTGATAACAGCAACATTGCAAACATGACAGTAATAGTTTTAAGTGCTGAGAGCCAGCTCCTCATTTACAAACAAGAGCTGAGACAACTCACAGCACGCTGCCAGCCCCTGCTGATGACTGCGTTAACTCTATGTTGTGGTTCTTGGCTTTCCTCACAAGGACACAACCAGCTCTCCAGCAGCCCGGTTACTATAAAGTCAGATTCCTGAATAAGTAACTTAAGTGAAACAAAATCTGAACTCTGCCGAACACTAAAAAGACTCTGCAAAGTGTGAAAAAACAAAGGAAGTGTACCAACAACGTGTTTATGTTCATAAAGTTGGCTTACACTGCTTTTCACTGCTTTTCTACCCATATTTTTTTCAACTTTAACAGTCTTTCGTAACCCAAAATGCAGAAACTGTTCCACTGTACTCAATTCCTTGAACCTCCAATTAGCAAAGAAATATTTTAAAAGTAACTCTTTGGATTGTTTCAACAAACAGCAGCACTCCAACAGTAAGGGGAAGAGAACTCCATGTTCATATGAACGTTCCAGTTTCTGACAGTCTGATGAATTGCTACCACACAACCATACTGCTGTCATCAGTTTCAGGAAGTTTTTCTTCATCATTCAGTGGAAAAAATCATAGAATCATAGAATGGCTTGGGTTGAAAAGGACCACAATGATCATCTAGTTTCAGCCCCCCTGCTACGTGCAGGGTTGCCAACCACCAGACCAGGCTGCCCACAGCAATCAATCATTTGATAAAAGTTCATCAGAATCCAGCATTACTTTTGTTTCATAAAAGACTAAAGGACAGAAAGTGAAATCTTCTCACCAAAATGAAAAATATTACATTTTCAGAGCCAATTAAAAGCATCTATCCACATGAGAAACCTACACTTTGTACACTCTTTAGAAGCAGACTGTTCTTCATGGGTCACCTTCTCTCACTTTTGAGCATAGGAACTCTCCAATTTTTCTCTCAGAGATTGGTCAGACACTGGAATGGCTGCCCAGGGAGGTGGTGGAGTCGCCATCCCTGTTCAAGAGGTGTCTGGGTGCGGAGCTACGAGATACAGTTCAGGGGCCTGTGGTAGCAATGGTGATGGGAGGACGGTTGGACAAGATGATCTTGTAGGCCCTTTGTAACTTTACTATTCTGTGATTCTATGAAATTTAGAACGCATGAATGAAAAACTACCCTACCTGCGTGGCAATGAGCTACAGCACAAAGATCCCTGCAGTATAAATTCTATCTCTAACAAGGACATCTGGACTTTGTTCTTAATTTCTACGTTCTTCAAGGTGCTTTAAATTGTCTGAACTGAGTTACCTTTGTTCGGAGCAGCGCAAAATGCGGGTCAGGGATACGTAATTACCCTCAACCGTCCCCCTGCTGACGGTCGGGATGGCTTTCCTACAGGCCACGTAGAGGGCACACGCCAACCAGTGCAGCTCATTGCCCTGTGAAGCAGAACGCAATGCACGTCAAGCCCCCTCCGAGCTGCCGGCACCTGCAGCTCTGCACCCTGCACCAAGACATGGAGACAGTGCCACAGATGGGATGTGCTGCACCAGCAACACCATTTTTGTTCTGAAATCCCTACAGCTGTGCCGTGCTTTCAGCTACCAGAAGTCGGCACGGCACCAAGCAGCAGTGAGAGCAGTGAGGTAGGGCAGGAAATGACCCCACTGCCCCACGGATCGGCCGTGAGGTGACGGGGCTCTGTACCAGTTCGGTGTATAGAGAAGACGTAAATAACGACAGCCACCGCTCCATTTCATCTAAAAGTCCTTCTGCCCTCGTCTGTGGGACGGCACAAGCATGGTTCCCACGTTTCTCTCTCACACACAACGGTCGCTCAGCTCGGCGGCTGACCGCACGAGCCGATCCCAACCGAGCCGTGCCCAACCCGACCCTCGCACTGAGGAACAACGCCATCCCGGCGCTCCCCCATCGGCCGCCTCACGCTCCCGCCCCGCCCCGCCGCCCCGCCCTGCTGCCCCTCAGCGGCCGCGCGTGGCGGCACGAGGCCGTTACCCCGACCCCCTCCTCCCCACCCATACGCACGGCGGGCCGCGCTCCCTCAGCGCTGAGGAGATGCCGCCCCCCGCCCTCAGCCCCGCCGCCCGGCCCCGCGCGCACCTCCAGCGTGTAGTTGCGCTTCATGCTCTGGTAGCTGAGCCAGGCCTCGGAGCGGGCGCGCTCGTCCATGTTGAGGCTGCTGCAGAGTTCCTCGTAGCGCTGCCGCGTGTCCCCTTCCTCTGCCGGCGGGGACGGGGCGGCGGGGATCGCCCCTCCGGCCCCCGGCTCGGCCTCGGCCTCCTCCCCGCCCGACATCCCGCGCCCCGGCGCTAGGGGGCAGCGCGCCCGCCGCTCACTGCGCCTGCGCCGCCGCCCCTGGGGCTCGCGACGCGCGTTCGAATCCAAACACCCCGGCGCCGAGCCACGCCCCCGCCCTCCGCCGAGCCGCCGCCTCTGATTGGATGGCGAGAAGAAGCCCGACCCGTCTGCTTTGCGGCCCTGCGCAGGCGCAGCGCGCTCACGTGACGTCACGACTCCGCGACGGCGCGACCTATGACCCCGATCCCAGGGTGCACCGCGGCCTGCAGCGTCACCACGGCGGCGTCAGCAGCGCGGGACGCGGAATGGCGGCGGGGCCGGGGAAGCCAGCGGGGCAGCGGGAGCCCAGGGCACAGCCATGTGTCTAGATACGGGGCAGAATTACCGCACGAAATCAGTGAGTATAACAGAACAGTGCTAGTGAACAAGCACACGACACACTACATTTGAAATAAAAGCAAGCGACATATATTTGAGTTGTACAAGTTCAGACCACCAAATAAGAACAGCAGCTTGAAAAACGTCCAAGTAGTGCGAAAGCAAACAGCTGCACGGGAAGATGCACGTGTAGGGCCGCAGTAATGGCAGCTCCCAAAGAACACAGCACAGCTTGTACAGCAAACACCCAACAGCAGGGCTGTCCCCAGAAGCACCTGAAAGGGCTGGGTCAGCCCTCAGCAGGTACTTGGAATACAGACACCCCTCAGACACTGTTCACACAACGTGAATGATGAAAGCAAGAGGTATCTTTTTTTTTTTTTTTGGCATGTTAATTGCTTGAATCACTTTCACAACAGGATTCCATTTTACTTCTACCCTGGTAATTGGATAAGAAGCTATAAATTTTGCATCAAAATGTACGAAAAGTGCAAATATTGAGGCAAAACAACTGTAGTAACAGCACAGGCCCTAACTATGTTGGCCCCAAATAAGAAGTTTCAGTCATCTTCACTAGGAGTGGCTAATGTTGTTTACCTCCTGAGAAATAAGGTGGACTCCCAGATAAGACTAGATACCAAAGCCCGCTGTCCTATTAAGAGAGGTCCAAGATTATACAATCTCAGAAATCTTTGTGTAGGAAGAAACAATATGCATCACGGAAACCTTTCTTCCAGTATTCTCCTTGGGATCTTCCCAGTGCAGTCTCCTGATACTTCTGATGCCTTTTTGCCAACTTGCAAAACTTTACCAGGAATCTTCCAATACTTGCTATTTCACTATCAGCCTCAGTGGATGAAGACCAGTGATAATGTGAAGATTTCAGCTTCAATCCGAAGAGGAAAAAACTTCTTCCCCTCATGACTCTCAGAAACAACACTGAAAAGACAAAATTCCTATTTATTCAGGTCACAATTATTGCCTACGTTAAAAAAAAAAAAATAGCAGCATATATGGACAATTCTTTCCTGGGATTAGGAGTTAGAAACCCTCCATTACAGGAGCAGAAAGCTAAGCTCAGACCACCTGCTTTACTTCAGCAGCATAACAGATGAACTAGGATAAAAGTGGAAGAGATAACAATAATTACCAGGTCTGAAGTTGCTTTGAGAATTGGAATGAGCTTGAGGACATGCTGTGAGGTTTTCAATCTTTTTCACCAGTACTAAACACTGTAATCTGACATTAAGATCCCAAATATTTCCCCAAATCAGCCTCCCTCATACATAGAAATAGCCTAAGAGTCCTTACCTGAACAGCAATGAGAATTCTGAACTTACTTTCGTTCTTGTGGTGTCTACTGAGAGAGCTTGAAAGGAGGTAGGGTTAAGAAAAAGTAAATAGTTTTCATTGCCTTATGTAAAAAGTGCTCCTGCTTCTTTGTGAACAGAAATGTTGCAGTTAATCTTAAACAGATGGTTTTGTTGTTTTAAAGATATGTGAATATTAGCTAACGTACCCCTTACATGAGAATACATAACATGTTTACAAGACCAAATTCCAAACTGAGATATTCACATTTACATATTTCTCAGTTTTGAGGCTTCACTCTACTTTATTTTATGGAAAAATTTCCCTAACCCTTTGTACTTATTTCAATTAGATGTTCTTAAAATACTGAGCTAAAAATAATCAAAATACCATTCATTGCTTCCAGCAGGCTAGAATTTCAGCACTAATAAATATAATTGACTGACACCACTAAGTTATAATACATTTCAACACCCTTCCTTTATGTAAATTGTTATGACTTTAAATGATAGCTCAAACATTGCTAAAATCTAGAATTACTATTATTAACTAAAAGCTAGGAAAAGCTCTCTTCAGTAAGAAGTTCCCATTTACTACTCACAAATTTTATCTAATTAAGCAACAGAAATTTAACAGGCTCTATCATCTCTTTCTTCTCAAAGGCTTATGCAGAAACTTCCTACTTGTACCACAGGAGAAAAAGCTGCACAAACCCTAAGAAGTTAACAAAGCAAACATACATATCTGTTAGGATGGCTGCCTCTGCACTAGTACTTACAGATATATACACACACAGCTAAATAAATCACTAAATAAATCATATACATATATATTTAAATCTGTGACAGTTGTCTGATAGACCTGCTAAAAACAAATGAAAAAAACAATTTTGTTAGGTGTTCTGCAAGGCTTTTAAGGAGAACATAAATGAGGAAGAACACAAGAACAGGGCACATATACACACATGCATTTTTATCACCTGCATGCAAATTTGAGAAAGGAAGGACTTATAAAGAAACATGTGAGAAGGATACCACAATTGAAGCGCAATGATGTACTGAAAACAACAGGAGATAATGACAACCAGGAGATAATCTGCATTCGGGGGAAGCATCCACACCCTGTATGAAATAAATGACAAACAGTAAGTGCTGTGCCCAAACTTAGATTCAATAAACATGTAAAAAAGTAAAGCAGAGTTTTGAAAATAAAAACACAAAAAGGAAGCCCACTTCCAGAATGCTTACCCTGGAACATTACATGCATCATTATTTCATATCAAGTCAGCATTCTACCAGAACCATGACTGTACACTACTCCCTCGCCACAACTACCCAAGAGCTGCAGCATCAGCTCCTTTTGCTTCTAAGACAACAGAATTACAGGAAATTGATTGAAACTGATTCCCAGAAAAGATACTCAAAGTAAAACATATTGTTTTGCAGAAAAACAGACATACTAGGCTTGACTTTTTTAAGGTCTTGAGAGTAACTTCTGTTCTAGACCTTAACACCGAAACTTAACTTTAGCTGCTCAAAGATGCATATCTAATCCTTACACAGCATTATTTTTCACATATTGAGGCTGACATCATGGGTAGTCAAAGAATATGTTTAATAAAAAATAATTAAACTTCCATTTGCTCTATAGAACATCATAGAAAGTAATTCAATAAATTACAAATGACTTTTTAAGACGCTTGTTCAACTACAGAAAGCAAATTCAGACTACACAGAACACAACTGGCAAATATTGCAAATGTCCAAAAGAAAAACTGGACTAAGACTTGGATCATGAAGCTTGAAACAAGGGATAGAAATACAAGGCAATACAGCTAAGGTTCTTTTAGTAACTACCAACACACACTTTATCATCACCTTGGATATCCTTTTAATCTTAACTTCAGTATTAGTGTAATTCTACTGAGGTTTCCTTATAACCCTTAACTTTATACAACCGTTTTTGCATATAGTCTAGCTGACAGTGGGACATTTTTCCCCTTCTGGTTCAAACTGATGAAAAATAAACCCAATATATTATGTTCAAGTCTACACCAGCCTTCATTACTTGGAACTATAATTGCCTTATTACATAGAAAGAATCACTAGAATGGTAACCAAACTCACTTGAGCATAATTAGGAAAATACTTTATTTCATAAATCTGATATAAATTAGGTTTTAGCCACAAGATTTAGGATTTCTTTTGTGGGGTAAGGGTGGAAGTGATGGTATTGTTGATGTGCTCCATCAGCAAACTAAGATAACAACTGTTTGTAAAACTTTGGCTATTTCATAGATCATCCTAGTTAAATAAAAGTGCTATATTACAAAGGGCAAAGTATTAAATATGCAATACTTTTTTTTTTTTTCCCCACAATGAAGAATTGCTACCCCCTTCTCCTGGCAGTTTTGAATTTTCACTATTGCTAAGACACTGCATGAAGGGCCAAAAATCAGAATACTATTTGGGAAAATACGTAACCAGCACAATCCAAATGGTACTTGTAAAGTTGTGTATTACATGTAACACTGCTTCTAATCGTGGGGTTGTTTCGCACATACAAACTTAGATTTCATTGGTAAAGTTCTTGGTAGAAAAAAAAAAAACAAACAACACAGTTGTTTTACTGTACAAGCAAGCAACAGAACTATATCAAAATATACAGTTTTGCTTTTATTTTTAAAGTTATCCCTTTGTAAAGCTTTTTCAATGACTCCTACTAGTACCTGTATCTGTTTTCTCTTAACACTTGCCTGTTCTTGGATCGCAAATGCTGTAACAAGGGTCAATTGAAATCTCAGTCAGTTCAGAACTTCTGTAAATGTGAATCTGGGCCTCTACTGTGTCACAGTAATAGCAGCTTAAAAAGAAGGAGGAATCAGATCACACATCAAATATTAGACAGATTTTATATAGTAAAGGGTTTTAAGGTTTTGGACTTAAACAGATGCCTTATGCCCTGTTACTGTGGTTTCTAGGAATAATTTGTCTTCCTTACTATTCAAAGTGCTTTTTTTTTTAGTGGGTAACTCAGCATAACATATGAAGTGATATCCCAATAATGATTTGGGGTAATATTTAATATTTAGTCAGATTTAAATCTGCAGAGAAGTTTAAACTCAAAAGGAGTTCAAAACTATCTATACTTAATTTACCATTATTAACTGGTAACTCCAGGAGGTTTTATGACATAAAACACAAATAGAAATCTACACAAACAAAGCAAACAAACAATTTTTACATGAAGTATGCAGTGTTGAAAGGTCTTTTCAGTGGCACTTCTGACAGTTTGCCTCTTCTGAGTCTTGGGGCAACTACTCCTCATTTTGGGACTTCTAATTCTGCAGAGGGAGCCCAAAACTTTGCAAGGTGTAAACTAAATCGATCTACATGGTGCCAAGTAGCATGAGATAAGACCATTTTTGGTTTGATTTCCCCTTACTGCTGTCAAAGAGAACAGGTCACAGTGAGGGGAAAAAAAACCCACTAACAGTCCTATCTCAACTCAGATTTTAACATGATATACAAGATGTCTTTAGAAAACAAAACAAAACCTGAAAACAAGTAATAGAAACCAATGTAAACTTCCTAAACTAACTCAGCTGAGGTAACAGGTAGCCAGTTTAATTGGCTGATTGGGAAAAATTTATCTTCTTTTAAACACACTTGTACCTGAATTGGAAACAGCAGTGCATCACAACACTAGAGCATTTTCATGTAATTAAAGCAATGGATGGTGATGTAGATTCTACAGCTTTCATGACATTCATTAGCTGCCCAAATTATTGCTGAGTTTTGATCTGTAAATTATAAGTGTCAAGGAGGCTGTAAAACTATATTCAAATTAAATCAATAATATGCATAAAGTATTCTGTGTTCACTGCAAATATATTAAATATACAGCTCTTTCTTGAGCATTATTTTCATAAAATTAACCCCCCAACAAAATTATAATGCCTTTTGTTGTAATTTTACACCATTGTGTATTTGATAGTACATACAAGTTCAGAAACTTATGAACTTCAGGAAATATTACATGCAAAACGTCTCTGAAAGCAGTTTGCACTTCTAAACAAATACTGAAATGTTCGGTCAGTAAATCATTGATGCACTCAACACTGGGTTATTTACAATGAAATAATTAAAGAATAAATTCAAAATCAGTTCATAATTTAAGTGCAGAGTCTGGGGTCAGTCTTCATCACTAGAATCTGAATCTTCAGATGAAGACGATGTACTATCAGATCCAGATGAAGCATCTGCTTTCTCTGAACCTTCATCTGTGCTGTTTTCATTGTGAGAGCTTGGCTCTGTTCCCCCTTTGTCTTCCTGATCTCTAACCCGAGAATTTTCCTCCTTTTCTTCCGTAGGCTTGGCTGAGCCTGTGTCATTACTTTCACTGTTCTGTACATCAAAAATATTAGACTGAGACAAAGCTGGGATATGAAGATTAAGGCCTGGAGTGAGAAGCATCCCTGGATAAAGTATGTTGGACAAAAGTAATGGGTTAAGAGAGAGAGGATTGGCAGCTGCAGCAGCAGAGGATGTTGAAGGAGAGCTTGAAACAGAGTTTTCACCACCAGTATCTGCATTTTGGTCTTCTGTCCTTTCTTTCTTTATATCCGCCTCTTTCAAATCACTTCCCTTTTTATCCTCTGAAATAGATTCTGTAGACTTTGTCAGAAGTCCTCCCATGCCCAGCAAGTTTGGTAATCCAGCCATCCCTGACAGCAGCATGGGGAACATGGCAGCCATGTTCTTAGCTTCTCCTCCAGTAGTTAAGCCAGCTGGCATTCCCATCAATCCTGCCGTTACTTGCAGTGACTGCAGGTTTTGCAGGTTTTGTTGTAAGGCCTGAAGACTAGACAGATCCACTCCTGGAAGCAATCCGTTGGTGAGCAGAGGGTTCACTGATACACTTGCAGCAGTTGCAGCAGCTGCAGCTGCTGTTGCCTTAGCAATCTCACTTTTGGGGCGCCTTCCCCTCCGGCTTACTTCTTCCCGCACAACAGGCCCGGTGAGAATACGGTCAAACATACCTTCTGGAAGAAACCCCTGCAAGAGATGCAGTGTGAATTTTTAGTAATTTGAAAGCGTAAGGTTGTCGAAGTTAAAGAAAAACAGCCCACAAAAACCAAGCGCATGCTACGTGTCAAAGAATTTTCTTGTGGTTAGCAATGCAGCTTCATCTCTAGACTGGGATTGGAGGTGGCTCTGTGCTACCACCACCATTTAAAGTCCCAGTTCAACAGTGGGAAGAAAGGAGGCACCTTCTCAGACACACTGCTTACTCAACACCTGAGGATCACGTCCAGATCAAATCACATATAGCTAATCAGAGGAGCAGTCTTAGGTTAAGATCTAAAGCGTGGCATTGCTTTGCAGTCGGATCACGTTCCAATCATCTCTTTTGCCACTGCTTCATTAAAAAAGTGCTTGTTGCTGCTTAATGTCTTCATACTTCACCTTATCCATTAACTCAAGAATGAACAATAGAGACTCAAGTGCAATTCTATTAAAATGAAATTCAGATAGCTTCTTTTTAGGATTTCATAGTATTTACCTCACCTCCGTATGCCCTCCTTATGTAAGCACTGCATAAACATGTATTATTTCCTCTGTAGCAGTTTTCCATATTTGTCCCTAACAATTGATTGAAAATGAAAAATGAATACGGTAACAGATTTGTTTATATGTCTATGGTTGCATGGCCTAAGACTTAACATTCAGCTGCACAGTTATTTGACCTAGGCAAACATGAGAAATTCTGTCCGTAAATGCACACATTTCTGTAAGCTCTATGTTAACCATGGTCTGAATGTAACACTGTGCATGTACAAATATGCATAGGAGCTCACATCTGCCTACAAACATGAGACACTTAGATGCACTTTTTTCAAGCATCTGGGAAAAAGCCACTCACTGAATACGTCTTGCTACTAGCGAGAAACTTGGGTAGGACAACCAAGCAGCGTGCTGCTCTTACCACTAACCACTGATAATCCATACAGAAGGAATGCGTGGCCAAAACTGAAGCTGTTGTACAGACCTACTCCTAACAGCATATTCACATATTAACCTTGGTTCCTCCTACTGGAATCCCAGCATTAGTTTCTA